TCCCTAAGTGATTTTCTACAGGATTTTATTTAATTCTAATAATCTTATGTTATTTCTTCCTATTAAAAAAAAATGAAGAAACTAAAGCTTAGAGAAATTAAGATGTGTGCAAAGTCATAACTTCAGAGTCTAGGATTAAAATTAGGTCTCATTCCAAAGCCCCTATTCTTAATTCTCTCTTATACTGCATTCTTAACTAAAATGATTCTCATATGATGTTACTGATTCAAAGCCCAGTGCTGTCACATACTAACAGTGTAATATTGAGGAATCTCAGATGCTGTAAAGGTAAAATAGGGGTAATTATAATACTTACCTTAAAACTGTATAAAGAGTAAGTGAGCTAATTAACGAAAAGCACGTAGCAGCACCGTGCCTAAAACTTAACACAGAAAACACTCAAGAGATGTTAACTATTATCATTATATTCCTCTAAAACAGAGTCAGCAATTTTTTTTTTTTCTGTAAGGGCCAAATGTTAAATAGTTAGGCTCTGTGAGCCATTCAGTCTCTGTTGCAACAAAAATATGCACCAAGTTGAATTTGGCCCACAGGCCACAGCTTGCAAACCCCAGCTTTAAAGCAGGGTTCTTCGACCTCTGTACTGCTGATACTTGGGACCAGACAACTGTGGTGAAGGGCTGTTTTCTGCATGGCAGGATGTTTAGCAGCATTCTTGGTCTCTACCCACCAGATGCCACTACCACCCCCCAAGTTAGAACAACCAAAAATATCTTCTGGGGAGCAAAATCACCCTGAGTTAAGAAACACTGCTCTAGAGCAATTAAACATATAAAGATGTAGCTTGAATTATCCAATAAAGAAAATACCTTAAGTGGAAAAATAACAATTTAACACACTACAAAGTATTTATACTCACTTAGCTAAAATTCCCACACTTAGCAATAACTTTATAACTTCTGTGATACACACAGCTGTGGTTGAAAAGTAGAGTTCTTTGTCTGATGTCCTTGTGTATCTTAAAGCTATGGTATAAGCTGCAGCCACCAGCGTCATCACTGTCAAGCAGTATAACTTGAATAATAAACTGACATTTTCTGGAAAATACATGCAACAAAGGTATTACTTAGTAGACAATATTAATGTATATAAAAGTTAATCAATGTTATACCTCTAATGCTTTCCAATTTCAAGCACAATATACTTTTTAAAACCCATGATATTTAAAAATTTATCTCAACACAATACTTTCTAATGACATGAACATAAACAAACATATGTTCACAAAACACACCTGACTTTGACTATCAACTGGTTAGGCACTGATTTTGCCTCAAATGCGAGATTATATGGCATACTAACTCTAGTTTGGGATGTTATAAGTTACATATTTTATAATTTATAATAAAAGTGATGCTTAACATAAAACTTCATCATAATAGTCTCTCATTTAATAGTATTATACAGGAAAAATATTTCATAACTAAAAGGGTATTAAGAGCTCCATAAAACTTGAAATGCAAGACACATACACAATTCATAAACACTCAATTTAAGAACTTCTTGCAAGAATATCAGAGCAGCAGCCATTACCCAGGCACCAGAGCAGGTCCAATATCTTCAATAAAGGAGCAGGCACTGGGGTACCAGGTGTCCCTCATCCTGCCTTACTCCCAGCCCTGTTCTGATACTGCCATCATCTAACACTCAAACTAAACTTTCTTCACCCACCTCCCACTTCTCATCCTTAACCTTCTTTCAAATCTTCAGGCTCAGGTTATATAAGAATAAGCAAAATTTTTCTGTAAAAGGCAAACAGTAAATATTTTAGGCTTTTCAGGCCACAAGGTAAAATCAAGAATATCATGAAGGTACTTAGATAACAAGAGAAAAAACACATTTTTGACAAATTCAAAATATGATAATTGAGTATAATGCTTTGTAATACAAGCTCTACTAGTGAGAACAATGGAAATACTTTGGGGGGTAACATTTTGCTTCACTGGTCTTCAGAGTTAGTGCTCCATCAAATCAGTTGCAAATGATCATCTGTAAAAACCATTCTTAGCTCATGGGCCATACAGAAACAACTTGACAGGCTGGATTTGGCCACTGAGCCATACTTTGACAACCCAGGTTAAGAATCAAAGGGACACAGGGTGACTCTGGGCTGTGACTGTAACTACAATATGCACTAAATAGGCTTTTGTTCACTGCTTTTGGGAGCCTAACCACAATTTGAAGATGACTTAAATAAGGAAATAAAACAGGAGTTTCAAACAAATTATCCTTAGATATGTAATGCAGGAACTTACAAAGTTACAGGTTCAACATAAGTATTAACCAGGGGCAATAAAGATTTGTAAATTGTAGGCAAATTTTTTAAATTTTTTAAATTTTTTAAATTAGGTCTTGACTAAAAATATAGTAGAACAGAAGAAATAGGGCTTGTGTCTGCCTAAACTTTCTTTCCAAAAGATTTGAAGAGCCAAAAAGCAACGTTCATGTAAAAGGAAGTGAAGGAGATCACTACAATGCTTCCTTTGTTCTAAAACTTTCCCACACAAAGGAAAAATGTATGACATCAAAAATAAATAGCAATAACCTTTAACTACTCAGTAAAGGAGAAAGCACTTTCCATTTAGATAAAGGTGAGCAAACTACATGTCATCTCATTTTTATACAGCCTGCAAGGTCAGAATAGTTTTACATTTAAAAAAAACTTTTAAAATAACCTTTTGTGACACATGCAAATTATATGAAATTCAAATTTCAGTGCTCATAAAGCATTATTGGAACACAGCCATGCTCATTTGTTTCCAAATTGTTTATGCCTACTTCTTTGCCCAGCAACGGCAAAATGAAATCCAGTCCTTTACAGAAAAAATTGCCAACCCACATCCTAGATTATCAACACTTTCATAAATAAAAGAGGTTAGTATTGCTCAACCAAAAACTATTTTAGCTATTATATAGGTTCCTGATCCTAAATACATAGTGAATGTTTAAACACTAAAACAAATATTTACAGCCTACAAATACATTCTGACCTGTAATTATTACTGTTATCAACTTTGAAAGTACACCTATTTGCAGTGTGATTATATAGGAATATACATTATGTTCTTGAAAATAACTACTGATCTAAATGGAAGAGCAATCAAATAAGTTTAGATATTTGTAAAACATATAGGGCTTTGGTATGGAAAATCATTTAAAAAACAAACTTTAAAAAAGCTCTTAATTTTTTATGCATTATTTTCTCTAATTTCAGTTTAACATTAGATCAAAAGTTCTTCACTCCATTCACAAATTCTCCAGTATGAAATATCAATTATTAGCACTTTCAATTATTTCAGTGCAATATCAAAAGTCAGTACCATGTCATCACTGTAAATTTTGTTCACATCGTGCCCACAGCCAGTAAATATAAACCGAGCCCATAACTTAACTGCACTGTTGAGTTGGCATACTGGCAAATTAGCTTATCTGTATTGTTTTCTGCTTCACAAAGTTCCCATTAGCTCCTACACATTGTTTCTGTGTGGAAAATGCTCCCTCGCCCCCAAAGAAATTCACAGTCTGAAGTTATTTTTTAAGTTATTTTACTGTATTTTAGAGGGGATATTATTTAACCCGAAAACTTGGAAATTCAGTAAGTTTCATATAAATCTTTTATGAATACCAGGATGCTATGGCAACTGCATTTTTGTTAAGATTATACATTTCTAGTGGGCATGGAAGACTTATAAAATGACCAAGGCGCAACAAGTATGTACCAGCAATAGCCTAAACCCATAAATTGTTACAAGTCTTTCAGATAATGACTTGACTCCTTTAATTCTTAAGTGTCGCTCATCATTAATCTGTTCCCGTTGTTATCAAAACAATTTTTTACTTTACTTTCTGTGTTGCTCCAAAAAAAAAAAAAAGGCGGGAGACATAAAGCTGGATTTATTCGAAATGAGAGACTGCATAAAAGCAGCGTATGAAACTACAAGCAATGCCCCTGGGCAGGGTTTAAATGATAAATGCAGACTCTCCAACCCGGGAAATAATTTAGCACCCATACCAAAGATTTTCTTTAAATATCTACTCAACATTTATTCAGAACCAGGTGCTCTAAAGGGGAAGGATGAAGAAAGAATTGGGTGTCACCCAACCTCTCCTTGCTACTGATCTATCGTCCTGAAATTCAGCTCTGGTCCTAACTTAACTTATCCTACTCAGCAAAACAAGAGGGCTTGCGGAGTTAAATGGCAATTGGTCATCAAATAGTATTACTCTAAGTCCCTGCGGAGAGGGAGCTGGATCCTACCTTCCACCCAAAACATCAAAGTGTTCCTTCTAACCACATACAATATTCTCCTTGGGAGGCCTGCTTTCTCTATCTCGTTATGGTTTCAGTGCCCTTTTAAAGCCCCAATGATGTTTTTACAGGATATTACACAGACCAGATGCTGCTTAGGCTCTGCACCCAGAGCATGCCCTTAAGCCTCTAAGAACCTTGGGGCAGGAGGCGCAGAAGAGACCGCAGCCGCGGTGACCCGGACCAGGAAAGAGAACAGTCCTGCCTCCCGCTGGTGAAGCGGACCCAGCCGGGACCGGCGACCCGACACTTCTCCGGGTCTGCCGCAGCCCGGGCCTGTCTGAACTCAGTGCCCGCCCACCACCAGCAGCTCGTCGAGGCAGGCGCGGTCCGGAGCCGCCGAACTGCCCCCGCGCAGAGTCCGCCGCAGAGAAGACAGCCGCCGTGGCAAGGTGGCTGCCCCCGCTGCTCTGACAAGCGGCGCGCGCGCGCTCAGCCAGGTGCGGCTCAACTAACTCCTGATGCGCGACGCCTCAGCCAACCCCGCAGCCCGCGGGCGCCGAAGACGCTCGGCCGCCGACAGGTGCGGGAAAATGCTGACGTTTGCCCGCCACCGCCCCCCGCGGGCTCCCGTGATCCCGGTGGCCCGCAGCCTCACCTCTGGGGGCAGCCATCGCTCCCCGACAGCCCTGCGCGGAACTGACGCACACCCACTCCGCGCTCCCTGCGCTGGACACGCGGGACCGCCTCCTGTGGTCATAGAGACGAAAACCGCTCGGCCTAGAGCGCCTTGCCGGCCGGCCGACAGCTGGTCTTCCGCCTGGTCCGTCGAGCACTAAGAATAGACTCAGGAATCCGAGCTACGCCCGAAAATAAAATGACCCGGACGGAGGAGAGACCTTTATAGCCGAGACCTTGCTGACAAGTGCGTAAAACTCGAGTTCTGTAAACTACAACTCCCGGCCGGCTAAGGAAGCGGAGTCAAGGGAGCGGAGCGTTGCCTTCTGGGAACCGTAGTCCTAACCCGGGGATTTGATGGCAAATAAAGATTTGGCGTTAGACTTAGAGATTCATGCCTGTCAAAGTTGTAGGAGTTCCCAGAATTCGTAAAGTAACGGATACTACTTTCGGCAACGTTGTAACTTCCATTGTTACTCTTATTTAAATTTAATATAATTTATGTTACATAACGTTCAGAAGTCTGTGCCTGTGTCCTTATTGTCATGATTACCATTGACTATATTTATCTCTCGACATTCTAACTACATGATCTTCGCACAACAAAAGGGCTTCAGAAATATTAGATGTGTCAACAGGTATTTACGTCAACCACTATAATCTCCACTTTCACTACAAGATGTTAATTAGCATTTAGCAATGTTAGAAATAATTCGTTGGCAAATGAATGGCTTTCAAGATATGTGGATTGTTTTAAAATATTATAAAGGTACCTCAGCCCTCACAAGAACAGGGGTACAAGATTTTGAGATGCCCATCAGCCTACACCTTCTATAGAATAAGCTTTTCCCAAAATGACCTTTTATACGTTTCAGTAGTTAATGTTATATACCACTGTCATCATTATATATACATACAGATTTATCAAGTCTGTTAACATTCTTGGAAAATTTTGCATGCCTTATTAGCATCACATTAATATTAGGAGAGGCTCCCAGGAGATCACAGTTGACTTTGTAGAGTCAGACATTTGATTAATCTCATTTTGGAATGGTGTTGGACTCTCCCTCTACCTGGTTGTATGTGTGCTCACTAGTGCTAATCACCTCTTCCTGTAATTGGTACAGTTCCCACTTGTGGAATTATTCGGTTCCCTACTGTGTATGTTCTTACACATATACTTAAACAAAAAACTCATATGTATACTTAAAATTAATTTTTTAAATGAAAATATTCTATCATACATTCCTTCTTTTGTTTTACTAATAGTGCCTTGTATAGTTTATCTCTTTCCATTTTGGAGTATCATTATAGTCTCAACTTAGTTTAATTAACTATAATTACTCTCTTTTGGATGCTCAAAGTACCCCAGTACGGCCCTTGTAAGCCTGCTCATTTCTTTAGATCTGCACAAGATTTTTGACACATTTTTTATTTCTGGCAACAAGAGATTCCAGGCCAATATGGATTTTTCTGTCTTAGTTCCTGAAATCCACTCCACTTCAAGAACTATGGTTCCTTCTGGTGGATAATTAATTGCATTACACACACACACACACACACACACACACACACACACACACACACGCATACCACTGATCACAACTAGAGGGGTGGGTAAAATGCTGTCAGGCTGTTTTTATAGCATTTCTGGTTCAATTAGCATATCATGCTGCTGAATTCTACTTTTGTTTTAAAATTTCATTACCCACAAAGACTTTCTACTCCACTGGCATGAACCTCGACTAGGTTTTGATGCCTTTTGTCCTAACCTGATCAGCCCAAGACCACCAGGGACAAAATCTATATATTCAGATAGAGTCAAGATTATTGACACATTCCAATGAGAGAAACTGCATACCAGATGAACCATGGGCTTTCTCAGGAAACAAAGGAAAAGAGAGTTATAGAACCTAGAGGAAGAAGGGACTTAGGTAAAGTTGAAAGGAAGCAGTGCTTTGATAGATTCAAAGCAGGGTTATGTGTAATTAGGTCAACATCAGATCTGCACATGTGTCAAGCAGAACAGTCTCAAGACCCTGTTTTTTGGAAACTACAAACTTCCTATAGATGTGGACTGTTGTATTCAGGAGCCTCTTAAATGAAGTCTTTGCACCTAGGTTGGAAATTGAGGCTTCTTTATGTCAAGGTGATTTAAATCCTTCAAGCAAGAGTAGGATGTTTTATTCTTACTGATATAATTTCAACAGCAAGTTTCCTAATGGTGTATGATTGTACAGAACAAAACTTTTCAGTGAGTTAGAAAGCAGACACTCAAAAGAGGGGGTTGTTATTAATACTTTTAGACCATATCCTTGGGAGATATATTTCCTGATAACTTTGCAGCTGGCTTTCTGTTTGATAATTATCCCAGCCCAGTGAATAGTCAAGCAGATATTTACATTCTTAATTTGAACTAATTTTTCCTTTCCCATTCTGAATTGTCCTAAGTCTTAGAAAATATTGGCTTAACGTGTTTCTTTTATGTATGCCTAGCTTTCTATAGACCCCTGGTTAGTGCAAGAAGCATCAATCTTCAACAATGTGAACCACAAGGTAATTTACCTGATAATGACCTAAGTTTATGATGTCTCAAGCGGCTATTTCTATTGCCATTTGAGACCCTAATGATATTCCTGATAATCAATGTCAAGCTGCCACATTTGCTTTGATACCCTGCTTACCTCATCTCCACTTATGCATGAGAGCTACCATAGTCTCAATGAATTGTTTAAAAGGAAACCCAGTACTACATCCATTGGTTACAAAGTAAAAGTGTGAACTTAAAAAGGCTGTGCCATAAGCAAATACCAAAGAGCTTAAGGAAGTTATAGTTACATTCGAATATGGTAGCTGTGTAATAGATTATTGAAAGTGCTAAGGTTTAAAGTATAGTAAACCATTAACCATAAAGAACATGTAGACAAATGCAGATACGTCGACGTAATTGTTTCCATGACAGTTTAAACATACTACTCTCATTCAGCTATTAAGAAAAAAATCCATTTTAAAATAAAACATTTTTATTTTAGAATTCTTTCCTATGGTGTAATATTACCAAAGACAATTACCAGAACTGTTGCATTTTATAATTGAGAAAATAAAAAATAGACAATTACCAGGAGAACTGTTGCATTTTATAATTGAGAAAATAAAAAATACAAGGAGACAATGTAAAATTTAGTGTCTAGACTAGGAAAGTTAAGAGTAATAATCATCAATATCTAAACATTTCTTATTTGAGCTTACTCTTCTCCTTGCCTCTGCTTCCTTTTTAGTTACCACATCTCATTTTTCTTTTCTTGCCATATAGTAACTGATATGCAGTCTGTACTTATTTCTACCATTGTCTGCTCAACTTGTCGCAATCTTATTTCCACTCAAGCCAACTCTATTAAAAAGAGCTCAGCAGTTTCCCATGCCATTGACCTTTTCTCATTCCTCATCCTTTTTTGTTTAGTCATGAGGCATTTACTGAAATTCATATCTCATTTTTCTTTTCCTGCCATGTAGTAACTGATATGCAGTCTGTACTTATTTCTACCATTGTCTGCTCAACTTGTCGCAATCTTATTTCCACTCAAGCCAACTCTATTAAAAAGAGGTCAGCAGTTTCCTATGCCATTGACCTTTTCTCATTCCTCATCCTTTTTTGTTTAGTCATGAGGCATTTACTGAAATTCATAATGTGCCAAGCATTATTCTAGGCACTGAGAGCTAGAAAATAGAAAGTGAGAAAAATAAGGATGGGAGTGCAGTAGAATGAGGAAATGGAGACTTCTCTTCCCTCGGTAAACACTGACAAAGCCCTTACCATGTAAGTGCTTTACACGTGTTAACTCATTTAATCTCCTTGACAACCCAGTTAGTTGGAAACCATTATTATCCCAATTTTTATGATGAAGAAACTACAGCAAAGAAATATTCAGTAACCTAGACTTTATTTCCGTGACCATAGAGATTCCTTTATGTCTTTTTCCACTCTTCTGACTGCTCCTCTGTATTATTTGTATTTTCTTCCTCATTCCATTCTTATTTCCTTGGGGTTGACCTCCCAAATTATTTTTCCAGGTCAAATTTCAGTCACCTCTGCCTTACTATTTTTGTCATCCCTTAAACTCAGATTTTCTAGTCTGAACACATTATCTTTTTTGAACAACCAGTTCCTCTTCCCAATTATCCTTGGTCTCATAAGGCGGAAACACTGAGATCATACTTTGATTTTTTTCCTACCCTTTCCTGGGATGTTATATCATATTTATTAAATCTCACATTTGGTCCTTCATGTCATCCATTACCATATGCCCTAGTTCTTGCAACAGCTTCCTAGCCATCTCCCCAACTCCAGTATGGCTCTCTCACAATTGATCTTCTGTTCAAGAATCTGTAGTGTTGTCTTAATTTCCTACTAAAAGAAGGCAACATATTTCTCTGCCTGGCTTTCGAAGTCCTCCAAAAGCAATCCCAATCCTACTTACCTAATTTTATTTCCACCACTTCCTCACACACACCCCCAATAAAATCTCCCTTTTCCTCGGTTTACTCTCTCTTCCTTTCCAATAACTATTTTGCTGCTAAATTACTTATCGACTCCTACCTTGACCATTAAAATAATCACTCAATTTGTTTGTTCTTTGACTCATTCCTTTCTTTTTTATTCATTTATCCAAGATACTATATCAAATCCCAAATATTAAAAAAAAATGACTAAAATATAGTTCAAATCTCAAGAAAATCATTTAGAAGGAAAATACAGATGAACACATATATGCCTATTTACTTTATGTTCTATAATAAGAGTATAAATATTGGATACGTCTCCTCGAGCAAGAGAAACAAAATAAAATAAATGAATAAATAAATGGGACTACATCAAACTAAAAAGTTGTTGCACAGTGAAGAAAACCATCAACAAAACGAAAAGACAACTTACTAAATGGGAGAAGATATTTGCAAATTATACATTCGATAAAGGTTAATATTCAAAATATATAAAGAACTCAACAACACCAAAAAAAAAAAATTAATCCACTTAAAAAATGGGCAGAGGACCTGAACGGGCATTTCTCCCAAGGAGATATACAGATGGCCAACAGTTGTATGAAAAGATGCTCAACTTCACTTATTATCAGGGAAAAGCAAATTAAAACCACAATGAGATATCACCTCACAGCTACCAGAATGACTGTCATCAATAAATCAACAAATAACAGTGCTGGTAAGGATGTGGAGAAAAATGAACTCTCATACATTGTTGGTAATATTGTAAATTAGTGTAGTCACTATGGAAAACAGTATAAAAATTCCTCAAAAAATTAAACATAGAGCTGCCATATGATTCAGCAATTCTGCTTCTGAGTATTTATCGAAAGAAAACAAAAACACTAATTCT